ATCATACAGTAAATGAATAAAGGCAAGATACACACATAATTACCACCTGTCAATCACTTTTTCTGCGGGACTCGTGAATAGGCAGTGATCTGTGTCGTTATAATGGCGTCGGTAAAAAAAGACGCACAACCAACAGGAACCAGCCAACAGTATCTGAGGTGTTCGCTAAAATGACTAAATACAAGTGAGTGAAAGATTGAAGCAGTCCTCTGACTGCCTGGACCTGCTGTCTCGAGCGCATGGCTGTCTGTGTCTGTGTCTGAGTGGTCACGTGATGTGCATTTTCAGAGGTAGAGAGGAAGGAGGGCTGCTCAGAAATGCTACACGCCACTGTGGATGTCAAATTGTTGTCGTTCTAAAATGCCATTTAAAAACAAAGATAGTGTAAACAGGGCCTGAGTGTGTACTTTTCGTGAGCGGATTTGCAACGGGGGCGGGCGGAGGATCGCGATGCCGGTGTTGTCTATCGGACGAACCCTAATACATACATAGCAGAGCTTGCAAAACTGTGTTTTTTTGTCGACAACACGAACGTTGTCAACATAACTCACTGGAAATCCAAAATGCTTTCACACCGGCGACTTCATTGAAAGAGGAGAGGGTTTAAGCTCTGTCGACGGGTCTCCAGCTTCTGCAGTTTAACAAGCACTTCAACAAGCCGTTTTTTTTCCCGCTTGGCAAGCCAAGCTGACGTGACATGGGGGCGTGGCAGCATCGAAGATTTTATTTTTTGATTCGATAATCGATATTGAGCATAAATTTCGATCGATTTCGATTTAAAATCGAAATAGTGACACCCCTAATTAAGAAATTAATCAAAATGCTTTTTTCATACAGTATTTAAGCATTTCAAGTAATTGAGTTTAATTAATCATTTAATATGAATGTGAGCTATAATAATAAACAAAAACTAAACACACACACACTAGGGTTGTCACAGGATTGATACTGGAATTCGAAACTAATTCAGACTGTAATTTTCAGTTTAAATATTCATTATAAACTCAGTAGCGCTCAAATGTTGGCGGGAAAAGGACATTTTTAAAATAATGTCACCGAATTCCAGTATCGTGCAACCCTAACACACACACACCACTTTTACATCTGGCCACTTTACATACTTCCAAAAAGGTCTAAATAAAAGAATATTGAAGTATGAAAAGTGTGACTCACTTCCTGTGAAGGCGATCCACCTGGCGTATTTCGTGGCTTCTCTTCGCCAGTGCGAGGCCACCAGTAGGCCGCAGGTGACTGTGAGGGAGATGATGCCCATGATGATGAAGAAGAGCGTGGTGACCCACTCTGGGGGCAGTCGGGGCGGGATGCAGGTTCGGTCTCGTCCGTGAATCGTCTGACACTGCCGCACCAGTCCCACCGTAAGAGCTCCTGCAATCAAATACAACAGGGTCAATCATGTGTACTATTAACAATCAATCGCATACAACAATCAATTACATGCAGCAATAGATCACATACAACAATATATCAGTGACATACAATACTGTCACTCACTTACAACAATCAATCAACCAGATGCATTAATGTTAATTACATCCACTGCCAATCAGCAATCACACACTTCATGCACAACAACCAATCACATGGAACAATATTGGTTAAACGTCAATTACAAACAACAACAATCCATGAAAGCATGTCAATCACATCAAGCATCAATCACAAACACATACAAAAACAATCACATACAACGTCAATCATATGCAACAACCATTAATTACACCGAGCAACATCAGTCAAAAGTTTAATCGCAACAATAATCCATCTCATGCAACTATGTTAATCGCATACAACGTCAATCATATGCAACAACCAGTCACACGTCAAATCACATACAACAACAAGCCATCCAACAATGTTAAATCACATGCAACAACACTAATCACATACAACGTCAATCATATTCAACAATCAATGACGTGGAACGTTAGTCAATGACATCACACACATTTAACAAAAATGGATGGATCATCACATTAAACAATGTTAATTCTAGGGGTGTCAAAAATAATCGTTTTTTCGGTGCACTGCGATGCAGACTCGGACAGTTCGGTATCGGTTCAGTAATAATCATAACCGGTTATTACTGATGTCATTTACCTCATATGCGCTCTGTCGCGAGGGAGGCGATCGCGAGTATTTACAGCGCTTTAACTACTTAAAACTCATAAACTGTGCACAATTTCACTGTGTGTGTTTGCTGGATCAGTCTTTCACTGACATATACAAAAATAGCCCCTATTTCACTGAGATCGAGAGAATGAAAGTAGCCTACTCCATTTCTCTCTCTCTTTCTCACACACACACAGTGGCCCATTTGACCTGCTGGTGTGGCTTTTCTTCTCTTCTCGGCTGTTTTACAGCGTTACTTTTGCATACAGGAACGAGCGCGTGTCTGCAGAGTTTTCTCCACCGTGTCTATCATACATCAGTTGTGAGATCGCCGCTGCCGCCTGCCGCTTATCAGCATCACTCATCTGTGAAGAACGCAGCGCGCAAGAGCCAATCGCAACCGTTTTTTTTGAGGGTGTGACCAATCAAAGAGGTGTAAGAGAACTAGACAAGGATCAGAAATTGAGCTGGATATTTATATTTGTTTATATTATTTGCTAAATGCTCGTTTTGTTTAACGTTACAGTTTATATATCTGACTGTTTGTATTAAATGACAAAATTGTATAACAAATAGTATATAAATATCAATATATTCATACATTTTAATACAAGAACTGCTGCTGTGAAGAAAATATAAAACTGTGTATGGAAAGCACCGTCAATGCACCGTAATGCACCAAAATATCGAATTGAACCGAATCGATGGCATGATAATCGTAACCGAACCGTGAGACTAGTGTAGGTTCACACCTCTAGTTAATTCCATACAATGTCAATCAATATTCACATTTCAACATCAAATCAACCACATGCAACAATAGCCCCTTTCACACAGTGATACCGGTAAATATCTGGAAAATTTCCGGAACGACTTTACCGGTATATTCAAAAAAGCGCTGTTCACACAGGCGAGGACGTTACGGAATTATTCCAGAAAAGAGCATTCACACATCCATTCCAAAATACCGGCAAATTCTGACATCATTCACCCCAAATGAGCTTTAAACGGCTGCGCTCGTGTTTGTAAACATTTGACTAAATTACAAACTCTGTGGATGATCAATATTGTGAACAACTTTCGCATGTCGAGATGTTCATAATATGTGCGTGTGCAGACGCTCACAGGCTGTTTCACAGGCACACGCAAAGCTTGAAGGTAAACAAACAACGGCTTTTCATAAGCATCTCATCGATGATTATTTACACAGTTGGCATTAAGAAGAACATATAAACGTGATCTGACTAACTTCTAGCAGCTAAATGTGTCTGGAAAAATATTCAAAGGCTTTTATCCTCACAAACCGTGCGGACGTAAATGCGTCTGACTGTTGTGATTGGCTAAAGCAGACGTCTTACGTCAGCACGTTCTAGACGTGCACGCGCTTATTACGGTAATCTTGCTTCTGCATTCACACAGCGCAGCATTCCGGCAAATTATCGGTAATGTTACAACTTCTCTTTCCGGAAAATAGCCAGAACGAATTTACTGGTATTTTCAAAAAGGACCTGTTCACACATACACACCTTTCCGGAAAATTCCCGGCAATTTTCCGGAAAGGTCTGTATGTGTGAAAGGGGCTAATGTCAATCATCATCACTCTTAGACGTCAATCACACACAACAACAACACGTATACAACAATCAGTCACATATAACAATAATTACATGCTACAACCACATGCAGCAATCACACACAACAGCAGCAAACAACGTCAATATTCAAATCACATACAACAATCACATATCATGTCAAATCACATACAACAATCACATATCATGTCAAATCATATACAATGTTAATCACATAAAACATAAATCACATTCGACATCACATGCAGCAATGTCAATTACAAACAACAACAAATCACGTGCTCAAAAAGCATGACAAATACCAAAAACAGACAATAACTGTCAGAGCTCGAAATCAGACAGCACTAATAGAATTTTTGCCTTCGACAATTAATTGTCAGGCAAATTTAAAAATCATGACAGCCCTTTCCCGAGCAACATCACCAATAAAGGCTGTTCTGCATCTTAATCAAGACGTGGGTGTTTAGCTATGGACTAAACCTATAACATGGCACACCAGAGAAAACAAAAACAACAGTCATCGAGCGTGAAGCCGAGCGCTTGTTCTGTGCAGAGAAACACACTGCACCTGTCAAACAGTCCCCGAGGCTGAGCTCAGCACTCCATCAGATGAATAAAAGCCCTTTTCAAGACTGACATTTACACGGATTTAAAACAAGCTTCGCCGCCTGAACAGCCAGAAGTGCTGAATGCACACTGCTGTCTGGACCCGGCACTGAAGCAAGCAAAAACACAGGGAATGTGCGGTTGAAAATTGGCCCCTGCCATACTTTAAATGACTGTATTCAACACTACAATCAAAGTCCGTCTTCACAGCCAGCTAAATCCTAACAGCAGATTTGCAATCAGATCACCCAAACAGATTAACCAGAGATTAACCCAAGAGATTGTTTGTTAACCTGTGAGGCTCGGTCATCTAATCCAGTTAAGACTATACACAAGCTTTGGCGTGTCAGGACCAGAAGTTACACTTCACAGAAGGTCAGAGGACCAATCTTATGGTACGTACTACGTTCACACAAGATGCAAATGAAGCGTTAAGTGTGAGTGGTTTACATGTTAAGTCAATGCCAGGATGTGATTAGACATACAGCGCAATGACACAATTCGCACAAAATGAGGTGTCGTAAAGCAGTGGCGCGAGAAGGTCGCTGGTTCGAGCCTCGGCTGGGTCAGTCGGCGTTTCTATGAGGAGTTTGCATGTTCTCCTTGGGTTCATGTGGGTTTCCCTCACAATCCAAAGACATGCGGTACAGGTGAATTGGGTAAGCTAAATTGTTCGTAGTGTATGTGTGTGTGTCTGTTTCCCAGAGATGTGTTGCGCCAGGAAGGAGTTGGTGGTTCATTTCGCTGTGGCGACCCCGGATTACTGAAGCTAGAAGTATCGCTGAGAGCATCCGTCATTCAGGCACAGGAAAACACATAACCTTCACAGCCAATCACCATCATTTCTGTTGAGCACATGAGCAAAATGGCCAATTTACTATTTAAATAGGTGCTCAAACTTTAGCTGCATATGGAGCTTTTATGAAATTTTAGTATCGATTGGTACGAAAAATTCCAGTATAGTGACAACACTATTCCAACCAAATTTTCAATGTCATTTCAAAAACAAAATAAGTGCAAGTTTTGAGAAGTTATGTGCATTTATTATGCGTTCAATAAATAGTCATGAATGAGAATGAGAATTTTTAGATATATTGCACAGCCCAAAGTGAAAACTACTCGACAACATATGCAGTCCTCAGTTTCTGCATCACTGGAGTCACTTGATCAGAAGGACTCCCAACAGGCGAGAGGCAGAGCACGAGATTTCATCATTCACACACACAGCCTCAGGAAACGGCTGAACTCAGATACATCTCTGCACAAACAATTCCATTATATAGAGAATCACGAATGCTGAAATACTCAGGAGCCATTTTCAGCTTCTGTCAAAGCTAGCTATTTAACTTTTTTTGTCAAATTAAATTACTAATCTAAGAATACAACATTCGCCTATACTAGTTTTAAGCAGCATAATAGTGTGTTTTTATTATTAGAACACCATTTATTGCATTACTGAATGAATATATTCCATTACGTCTCTAATTGCTCTAATGGATTCAGCTATGCAGAGTCAAAACAAACAAAAAAATAGAAAGTAGATTCACAAACATGCTTTTTGCTCATTATTATCCAGCACTTTCCCTAGAGAAAAGATTATATTTATTTTTTTTATTCGTTTATTCAGCAACCACCATTTTTCCCAGTGGATGTCCTCATTTTCTTTGTATTAGTGATGGGTCGTTCATAAACGATTTGTTCATTTTGAACGAATCTTCAAAAAGACTCGGGAACTACAAGTCCTATTGGGGAGTGATTCGTTCGTCCGCCGCGTGCGCACATTTGTGCAGGTGGTATCATTCAGTCTTTTGAGTTGTTCATCGCAGAAAGGCAGAAGCCGATCATATGCGTTTAGAGCTGGAAAAAGAATCGATCCGCTCACCTCGAGTCCTCTATCGGGTTTGAGTCATTTGTTCATCACAGGCCAATCATACTTGTTGAGCAAATACATGCTTGTTTTCAAGATGTCGCCGAAGTTTAGCGGGTCTCATGCTGTCATTAGCCAAAATATCTTGACAAACCACACATAAAGGTCGTGGTTCATCAGCTGGTCCTGTC